GCGGCCCAGGTCGGCTCATAATGCGGCCCAGTGCAATTTTTTATTTTTAAAGAAATTCCAAAGTTTCAAGTTACACTGCTGGCGCTTGCGGCCGGAATGCGGCTGGGGCACGTCACAATGGTAGAGGGGGAGAGAGGGAAGGAAGGAGTGGGAGGGGAGGGGACAGGGGGGCTGCATGACTGCATTGCGCTGTCCCCGTCAATAGGTGAACCCCCTCCCGGCCCCATAAAGCCACCGGAGTCGAAGCTGGCAGCCTCTACTCTCTGAGGTCGCAGCTGCCGGTAAGCACACATGGAGCAGGGCTGCGGAGGATGGCTAGGGCTGCCCCCCCATGTGGCCCAAACCAAATTTATGTGTGGCCCAAACCAAATTTTCATCTTCTAATGTGGCCCAGGGAAGGTGAAAGGTTGGACACCCCTGCTCTAGACCATGTAGGGTTACAACTCTCATGAGGCCTAGCCACCGGAGCCAATGATGTGGGATGATGGGAATTACAGTAAAAAATGTCTAATGCAGGGGCTACACATCTCCCATCCTTGCTCTACTAGGTACTGCAGATACTATAACTAGATGTGTAACAGTAGGTCTTTGTAGCTGCAGCTATGCATTGTATGCTATTATGACCTCTTTGGGAACAGAAGTAATTTTCCACTGTAAGATGCATTTCACTGTGACTTCAACAAAACTTTCCAAAATAGCATTGATGGTGTGTGTATGTTTAAATGCCATGAACAAAACAATAGAGTTAATGATGTCCCATTCCCAGCCTGTCTTGCTGGAGACAAGATTCTTCTTTTGAAACCCCACATTTTATTGTCTGTGGGTTTGTTTGTTTCCTTTGAGAATGTCATGTCTGTTCTAAAAGGAAATTCATTTGAGAAGAACATTTTTGAATCAATAATAAAACAGTGTAATAAAGTGTGTACCATTATTTTTTTTTATTTTGAGGGGAGAAATGAATTAACTAGAAACTACAAGGGAAATAAGAGGTGGAAAAATACAAGTAGGGAAAATGTACCTAATCATCTTCTCTTTATTAACCCAGGGAAAAGTTAACAATTAGCCAGAAGAATGATAATTTTCAAGTCCCTTTCCAGAAGTGTAATTTGTTTATATGTGTGCAGAGGTGAGGAAATTACTTTTTTTGACCAGAACCCCTAGAATATCCCAGCCAGTGGAGCCACTTTCTCTGTATAAACAACTCCATAAAGTTTATTTTTTTAAAAAAATATTTTTAGCCCACATTTCTTCTTAAAAAGGACCCAAGGCAGCTTACATCAGTAAAAGACAATACGATATTTCAAAGCTAAAAACAGTAAGTATATGTTTTTTTTTAAAAAAAGAGTCAGACAAATGCCAAACTAACACAGTAAACAAAATCAGTACCAAAAACACAGTCAAAGCAATGAAGCACAAAAATCTGTTTTAAAAACTTCTCTCAGATGGACAATCACTACGGGAAAGCCTGCTTGAAGAGGAAAATCTTTGTCTACTTGTGGAAGGACAGCAAACCTGGGACCAGCCTGGCCTCCAATAGGAGGGGGTTCCAGAATCTGGGAGCAGCTTCTCCCTTATGGTTTCTTGCTCAAGAGCTACTGTGAGCCTCAGTGACCCTCACCTGGTCTGTGGGTGGCGCCTCCTCCACTCCCATATTCATGGAGTCGACATGTTTTTACAGCAACAAGAGGGTTTATTAACACTTGGGGTGGGGGATCAACACTCAGTAAACCAGCTAACAGTCCATCTGTGGGGCTAGTTGACTTCACTACCCCACATCAGTCTTGTGTATCTATGGCTCCCCTGCTCGGTGCTGAGAACCCTCCAGCTATTGCTATTCTTATCGGATGTGCTTTCTGGCCTCCAGTTCTATGGCTGGGTTGGTGTTAGCTCTCCCTCACTCATTCCCTGAGAGGTTTGATGACTTCATCTTCAATACAGTGGTGCCTCGCTAGACAGTTACCCTGCATGACAGTTTTTTCGCTAGACATTGACATTTTGCGATCACTATAGCAATTCGCAAAACAGTGATTCCTATGGGGGAATTTCACTGGACAATGTCTGGTCCCTGCTTCGCAGACCGATTTTCGCTAGACAACGATTTTGACAGCTCCCTCCGCACTCGCAAAATGGGTGTTTTTGGGACCAAAGCTTCGCAAGGCAGCTATTTAAACAGCTGATCGGCAGTTCACAAAGCGGCTTTCCTATGGCCGATTTTCGCTAGACAACGACGATTCTTCCCCATTGGAACGCATTATACAGGTTTCAGTGCATTCCAATGGGGAAATGCTTTTCGCTAGGCGATGATTTCGCTAAACAGAGATTTCAGTGGAACGGATTATCATTGTTTAGCGAGGCACCACTTTTATGAATGAGGATGAAAATACTGATGTTTGGCTCCATCTCTTTTAGGGAACCTCAGTTCAACCAGCTTCTTGATCCAGGGATCTTCTTTCACAACATGATGTCACACTCTAGGGGGGCTCTGGCTGGTTTCACTTGACCTCTTCAGCCTAAAAAGCCTCCCTTGATTCCTATATCTATAGGTCTCAGCTTCCTTCACCATCACCAGTTCTCACCTCCAGCTCCCTCTGTCTCCAGCTTCCCTTCCACCTCTTCCAGTGCCTCTTTTATATTGTCCACCCCCAACTCTGTTCTTCCCAGGAAGGACCTCTGCTTGGCTTGCACTGTCCTGAATGACATGTGCAAACACTAGGTCTCCTCAGTTGTCTGCTGTGGCCACACGTCAGAGGGCTGAGTTTCCCCCCCCCCCTGCATGTTAAAATGAAGCAAGTAATTTTTTTCCAAGCTCCGGTGACATTCCCTTTAAAGCTGGAGAGAAGATGGTGGAGTTACAGGTTCCTCTGTCCATGGAGATTCCTCAGATCATTTGAAACCCTGAAAATGTCAAAGGCATCAAAATGGGGTGGTGGGGAGGCAGTAAAAATTAGCAGCTTTAAAAATAATCACAACATTAGCATTTAAAAAAAAGAAAAACAGTTTAATGAAACAGCCATTTACAAACCAAAAAGCTATTCCAGGAATGGTGATGGTTTGCATACCGACTTCCAAGAGGCCATCAAAAAAGAACAAGCAGAAGTCCCAAAATGTCAGTGCAATTAATATAATGGGCATATGAGGGTGGTCATTTGTGGCCGTAGTGCTCCTTGTGACTCTTAGACCAACTTCCAAATCTGCCTGCAAGCGATCAGCTTGGATCCCTAGCAAGGAGTATCTACTAAGGATCGCCTCCCTTGGAGCCCATCTGGCAAGAGGGAGAAGGAAAGGAAAGAAAGGAGCGATCCCACTCACTTGGAACCCATCACTGTTTCATCCAAAGCCAGTAGGTAGTCTCTCTCCTGCTCCCAATGCACAGCCCCAGACTCTTATGGGAGTCTGTAGTAGAGCAGATAACTTCGGACTTTGCCTTCATTCCACCCCACAAAATCATTAAGCAACCTTCAAAGCCATCGCTATCTAGTTCAGTGGTTCTGATGCTATTAGCCCCAGCAATGTTTGCTTTCCTTAGGAAAACCATTCTAGTTGAACTTGGACAAGTCACACATGTGGGGTTGTTTGGCCTCAGCCAAAGGGTTAACCCTGAATGGTTTCCAGAGGGGGCCTGGTGTTTGTAGATTGATACAACTGGCACAGGATATCACGTCCTGCTCAGGCCAGCTAAAAATTAACTTTATATTATTTCAATGGGAGAAATGCAAAAAGGCATACCTTCTAAAAAGAAAAACCTCCTATTCCTCAGGTAGGGTGTGTGTGTGTGTGTGTGTGTGTGTGTGTGTGTGTGTCTGTGTCTGTGTCTGTGTCTGTGTCTGTGTCTGTGTCTGTGTCTGTGTGTGTGTGTGTCCTTGTGTGTGAATCTATGTAGTACATAGCCGAAATAGGAGATAGTAGCAATCTCAGATAGCAGATGATGAAGGGCAAAAGCTGGTCTTCTATGAGTTGTAATTTTAGCATTACACACTAGATGGAGGATGAGTGCTGAATGTTGATATTCAAACAGTTATCTAGACCCTCACCACTGTAAATATCTTTAATCAAAGTACTCAGTAGTAGGAGACAGGTAAAATGCATTTTTTTCTCAACAACTCAAAGAAGCTGGTGATTTAATACAGACAGCTGACTGAGTTGGGTAAAGGTGAAGGTAAAGGTTCCCCTTGACAATTTTTGTCCAGTCGTGTTCGACTCTAGGGGGCGGTGCTCATCCCCGTTTCCAAGCCATAGAGCCAGCGTTTGTTCGAAGACAATCTTCCGTGGTCACATGGCCAGTGCGACTTAGACACAGAACGCTGTTACCTTCCCACCGAAGTGTTCGATCTTACGACTGCTTGGTCTTCTGACCCTGCAGCATAGGCTTCTGCGGTTTAGCCCACAGCGCCACCACATCCCTACTTGGCTGCAAAGACAGAGGTCAGTGGTTCGATTCCAACTGTGTCTCCTTGGAGAAGAGTCAGCCTGTGTGGCCTTGGGCAAGCTGCACAGTCCCAGGGCACCCTCAGAAGAAGGGAATAGGAAACCACTTCTGTGTACTCTAAACTCTAGAAGGGGTTGCCATATGTCATAACTGACTTGATGGCATGGATTTATCATTATTTATTGAATTCCAGCTGAGAGCGGATTAAGAAAGGAACACAGCCTCAAAATGTCTTGGTTGTGGGTGGGCGTTGCCTTGTCTGTTTGCTTTTAGTGGCTCAGTTCTCTATATATTTTCTCAAATCAATTTCCACTATGTTCAGTGAGCATAACAACATACATATTGAAAGGGGAAATAGAAAATTCAAAATGATGATATAGATTTGCACAAAATATATGCATGCTAATTTATATGAGTGGGACACATTTGGAATTATTATAATATAAATCAGGGGTGGGCAACTTTGGTGGGTCTGGGGGGCCTTATAGATTGCCAAAAGTATCAAAAATATTTTTTTAAAGGGGAAAAGGAAAGCAAAACAAAGCAAAGTAGATGATGAAATCAGAAGTGTTGAGAAGTCCTGTTCCAGTTTTGAAATCTGGCATTTTTGAGAGTGTCAAATGTAAGGACAGTTGTCTTTTAAAAAGTAACTTTTCCCATTTCTGGTGATGTCAGGTGGAGCCAAGCGCAGTCATTTTGCTTCTGCAACATATGTAACAGATTTTATGGATTACAAAGGATTAGATATCAAGACTCAAATCATCTTCTCTCTCCAACCCACATGACATTATGGCTTTTTGAATAAAAAAATTATCTCTCTGTTTGTTTGTTTGTTTGTTTGAGAATTACTTTGGGGGGTTTAGAAGTTCAAACTTAAAAATCCCACAGATCCCATATAACATACAATATAGCAATTTCGAAAATCATATAAAAAGGAAGAGAAAAAGAACATAAAAATTAAAAACAGTATTGATATTAACAGCATCCGGAGACTCAGTTGTTGAAGACAACTTTGAATAGATCTGTTTTCAGCTATTTCCTCAAATTAAGGTGGGAAGAAGTTTGTTGTATCTCTGTTGTTAACCTATTCCAGAAGGCCACCACTGAGAATCCCCTATTCCTTGTATTCTCCTTTTTTTGGTCTCCCTCGCTTTTAGCAAAGAGGAGCAGATGAAATGGGCAGCTGATTTCTGGGAGGGGCAAGTATTGAGGTCCTAAACCGTTAAGGACTTTATAGTATTGAGGTCCTAAACCATTAAGGACTTTATGAGTCAACCAGCACCTTGAATGGAGCATGGAAACCTGACAGCAAACTGATATTCCGTTAATCCTTCCATTTCCACAGCAGCAGGAGCCTCAGTCCCCTTTCCCATATCATCAATTCCCCTTTGCAGTGGGCACCAAGAAGGCCACTGGGTGTTTCACTCTGCTCATGTGGGCACAACTGGTAGAAGTCGCAACTGCTGTACACTGACACTGCCATCAAAGCCTGACAGCAATAGTCGGATGGCAGAGACGAGATCTGGGTTGTGCAAATTTTCACCTGTGCTACTTAACCAGAGATGATGGTCTAAAATGTAACTTTCAAAGGCTCTGTGAATTGGTTGAGATAAATCTTTTAATGTAAGATTATTCAAGAAGGGACGTGGTGGCGCTGTGGGCTAAACCGCAGAAGCCTGTGCTGCAGGGTCAGAAGACCAAGCAGTCGTAAGATCGAATCTACGCGACGGAGTGAGCTCCCGTCGCTTGTCCCAGCTGCCGCCAACCTAGCGGTTCGAAAGCATGCAAATGCGAGTAGATTAATAGGGACCACTTCGGTGGGAAGGTAACAGCATTCCGTGTCTAAGTCGCACTGGCCATGTGACCACGGAAGATTGTCTTTGGACAAAAATGCTGGCTCTATGGCTTGGAAACGGGGATGAGCACCGCCCCCTAGAGTCGAACACGACTGGACAAAAATTGTCAAGGGGAACCTTAATCTTAACCTAAGATTATTCAAAATGAGGACACCGGAGCAGGGTAGGGTTGCTTTTAGGAAGGGCAATTGCAACTTCCAGCAGCCATGCTGGCTAGGGGATACTGGGAACTGTAGTCCCCAAAAGGAACAATTCCAAGGTCAGATTAACTTAGTGACCTCCTGAAACCCTTGAAGATAAATCTCCAATAGAAACTGAAACTTTTCGTCCCAGTAATGTTCTTATGAAAGATCCTCGTGCAGTATCCCCAGACTGTGACTCCCTGAGTCTGGTCTCGATCATAATAAATCAGGCCTGGAGCAACTGTAGCTTTTCTTAACTCTGGAGTCCTCCAGTGATTTGTGAGCATCTAATTAAATTGCACACAGAAAGCCTTGTCTGTTTGTGATGCAGGCCTTCGCAGAGCTAAAACAACTTGACCTCGGGCCTCAACTGAGTGGAAGGCATTCTTGGCATGTAGGCTGCCTCCATTAGGAGAACATCTCTCCAGAGCCACAGGATTTGAATGCAGTTCTGACCTTTTCAACTTTGTTGTGTTGGTATGTGACCACATAACATAAGTTCATCTGCGGTGTCTATGGCTAAGAATATAGGATAAAAAACATCCTGTGATGGTCACTACTTACTTGCAAGGTGTGACTTTGAATCTACTATCATGTGAGCATATATTCCTAATTATGTGCATGGACTTGTTCATGCATATATTCAAAATTTCACATGTGTATTTATAAAGCCACTTTTTCTGTACAGATGGGAAAAACTGTCTGGTTTTCTTCCACATTTACAACTCCTTGTTCTTTTCAACAAGTGCATGAAGACATTTGAAAAACTCAGAAAGTTCTTACCAAAAAATGAACTGAACAGAATTCTTACCCATCTACACTGACCATATTCAATAGGAACAAGCATTCCCAGTGATGAGAGAATCATGTTTATCTACCTGTGATGTGTTTGTTGAAGCTGAGGCACCCAGCAGAAAAAAAAGAGGTGGCAACTTAGTTCAATATTCACAAGCTTTAACATACAGGAATTAAAACACAGACCTGTTCAAGCTAAACACCCAAAGCCTCTGTATCTGTCAATTTAGCTTTCTCTCACTCCAACTTTTTTTAAAAAATCCCTAGATGCCTGTTGGGCATGAAGTCAATAATACTTTCTTCCCATTGTTGTTCCCCAGCAGTGGTGATGTGGAGTCCAGGAGCTAAAGCATTGCCTCATTTTTTATTAGCAGGAATCATAATGTCACCTGCTATTCCTCTCAAATTTCTCTTTACCTTTGGAACCATCTTTTGCAGCAGTGAGCAAACATCCCAGGAATGCAAAGAAAAGAAAAGTAAGGAAAGAAAATTTTTCCCAGCAAAAATATACAGTCACTGGCCACCCCCATGTTGATGCTAAGCACTTGGAATCCGGTTCTAATACTAAGAACTTTGAGGAGTGGCTTTGCCTGGAATGGGCAGATAAAACCCCTTAGCTGCACTGAATACCTGCTCCTGGAGAGAGAAAAAATTAGCTAGAACTTCTTTGTTGATATGGGTCAAGACAATTACCCGGATTGTGGAAGAGCCACTAAACCCCAGCAGCTGGCATCCAGAGGTTATCTCTAAGTCTGCAGGTAAATCTATAGCCATCAAGCTTGTCATTTCTTTGATGTGCTTTACCAGAATGGAGGGAAACATGGAAGGAGCTGCTAAATGGAATGAAAGGCTGCTGTAGTATCTCCTTTGTCTTGGAGAGATGCCAGTTCTTGCCTTCACAGAATGACACTTCTGATGCTACAAGCTGTTACTGATTTTTATCCATTTCTTTTACATGGCTCTCAAAGACTTACATGCAATATTTTTTTAAAAAGCAAGATTATTGACTCTAGTATAGCGTGTCTGCACTATATTCACAAAGCAGTTTGATGTCATTCTTGGCTTCACTTTACAGAATCCCAAGTTTCTAGGTTGGGCAAGTACTTAGAATCCTTTGCTGCAATTCAAGGGAGATTTCTAAAACGGTCTAGCAGAGAATTCCCATCATTAAAAAAACCCACAGAATTCCATAGAATGGAGAGATGACCATTTAATTTGTATCAAGCTGCTACAAAGGTGCAGCATACATACAAAGGGACATTGTCTGCTAGATTTGTTCATATGCCTTGTGATATGCATTGACCAGAAGCAAATACATTTGTGAAGCAACTTTTGAGGCTAGCACATGTCTTCTTTTCTAGGAAAAGGAGGTAAACCTAACCCACATTGAGTCCAGACCGTCCCGGCTGAACAAAGATGAGTATGAATTTTTCATCAACTTGGAAAACAAGAGCATTCCTGCACTTGAAGAAATAATCAGATCTCTGAGAGAAGGCATCGGAGCCAACGTTCATGAGCTCTCACGTGAAAAGCGGAAGGATGCCGGTAAGAAAACTTTGTTCAGGATAATAATGTCCCTCCCTCTCCAACAGTATAGAGATCTTGTATTGTGATTACTACTTAGGTGAAAACTACTGGTGCTGTCTCAGGGTGCTTCAAAGATTTCGCTGAGATAGCATGTTTGAGGAAATCAAATTTATTTATACCTTTCAGACTAAAACTTCAATCAGAAGGCATGTATCCATTGGCTTTTACATCATGTGCAATATGACTGTCGTCTCCAGAATGTATTAAAGTGCATGTTACATATTCAGTTAGATGAAAATGATAATCAATCTGATATGGCCAGTTCTGGAAGTTGACCAAACCAATGTGGATATTGCCAAAGCAGAGTGAGTCTGAATCTAAACACTCCTCAAGATGTGTTAGGAATTAAGATTCGGAAGGACATAGAGACTAGACACGGGTTATTTGTATTCCTGGAATATGAATAGAGGCACAACAGGGGCCATGGAGGCCCATTCTGCCCCCACCTCTGAACCAGCCAGTTCACTCACCATTTGCAGTGTGGTGTTCAGCTCTGCTGCTGCTGTTGTCACCCCAATCATGGAAGGAGCCAGTCTGACTCTTCTCCACCTCCCCATGCAGCCAACCACTGTGGTGTGGAGACAGGCCAGGGAGTCTCCCAGTTCAGGTGATGAGTGGTTGGCTGTGTGGGGAGGCGGTGAAGAGCTGGCCAGGTTCCTTCCACAACTGGCACAGTAAGAACAACAGAGTTGAGTGCTGCTCTGTGAATAGTATGTGGACTGGCCAGTTCTGGGGGGAGGGAATGGGCCTCTGTGGTGTCACTCTTCATATCTCCAGGGACACAAATACAAATAGTCCATGTATAATAGAGAGTAGTTCAATAAAGTAAGTTACACCCTTGAATTTGCAAGACCTGAGGGTCACCACAAGTTGGCACTGACTTGGTGACACATAACAACAACAGAGGCACACACATTGTAAGAATGTTTTCAAGTTTTTAAGTATAATGGCCTTTGTTCTATTTGACAGTTTCATAACAATTACCCCTCCCTGTCTCTACAAAGCTGATGGGTTGTTTATTTGTTTAAACTGCTCTTACACAGACTCCCTGTGCTTATTCTTCCCAAATGTAGCAGGCTTGATTACTCCATAGGGGATAACTATCACTGGAAATTTCATCCACTTTTTCTAAGAAAGGTTTTCAGCAGTTCCCTTTAATTAAATGGGGCTGGGTGGGTCAAAATGTAATAGTGTGCTTTTCAGCAGTTCCCTTTAATTAAATGGGGGGTGGGTCAGAATGTAATAGCATGGAGCTTTAAATGTGCTGTAGCTATTTTACCTCTGGCTTAGAGATGATTGGAATAATTTCCTCCCCTGGACTCTGTTAGTGGCAAGTATGTCCGCCCATATCACCTTACCCAATGAACGGAATATAAACAGTATTCATGTAGGGGAGTGATATCAGGAGACAGGTATCTAGTTGTCTTGTGTGCTCCCAAGAGGCATCTGGTGGGGCCACTGTGAGATACAGGAAGCTGAACTAGATGGGCCCTTGGCCTGATCCAGCAGGGCTCTTCTGATCTTCTTATGTAAATATAGTGTTTGAACCAGCTCAGGCCAACAATCTAGGTAGCCCAACCGATGTTTATAACAGTAGCGATTCAGAGACTTTCAAATGCATGCTTTCAGAGCACTGGTGAAGCATTAAGCCCAAGGTGTGTAGCCGGTACATTTTAGACTACAATTCCCAGGATCCTGCAGCAAGAATATAATCATAAAACTTATGGTCACCCCTGCCAGGGTTTCCTAGCCATAAAATACTTCCAAAAGGTTTACATAGTCCACTCCTTCCAATGGTACAGTGGGAAAAAGAATTTTTAACCCACTTAGCTATCCAGCCAGCGTGGCCAATGGCTATGCTAGCTAGGGGACTCTGGGAATTGTAGTCTAAAAAAGTAACTTTCCCAAGCTCTGATAAAGCCATCTAGATTTATTCAGAACTCTTCATTTACAAATTCTTCCTCCCCACCCCCCAGATTAAATTAGCAGGTATCACAGAGAAGAGCCAGCTTCTAGGCATACCTGATCACTTACTAATGCAGTTATACATTTGTACAAAATCCGAATGCACGGTATATTCTATTTCCTGCCAGTGCATCCAAGTCTTATGAATACTGTTGTGGCTTTCTGGACTACAGATGTATTCCTAATAGGATTTTGGTTAAGGTTGGCTTTCAGTGCTTTCGGTTTGCTGCCTCTTCTTCCTTCCTGGGAGCAACATGAAAGGCCAAGAATATCTTCCTGAAATGAATCCCCATAATCTCCTTACCCTCTCTTTTGTGTCCCATCCATGACATCACAAGGGGAAAAGAGAAATATTCGAAGGAGTCAGACTCATCCATTCAGGAAGGGGGCCTGACAGACAATGGGTTATGGTTTGGGAGGGAGTCACATTCACTTAAAATCAAAGGTTTAATTACTTTTTGCTTTTGGAATGGTGCCTCAGTTCCTCTCTTTCTGAATTATAAAGAAATGTACGCCTTAGAAAGAAACCTTCAAAAGGTAACAGAAAAGTTCTATTGAACATCTTATGTAGGTTTATTTGGGAGTAGTCCTACTGAAAGGAGTGGGTGTAATTTTCAAATAAACACAGTTAAGACTGGGATATTGGAGGGTGATTCACATAGATGTTTGGTACCGGAGGTGGGGAAAGCCACTTACCCGGACTATAGTTCCCACTAGCCATGCTGCCTTAAGTATATTCAAAGTTGCAGTCCAAGAAACTAAAATCTTTCCCATGTCTTGTACAGAGTGTTGTGAAGCTCCGATGAACAGAGCCAGACTTTATTATTCAGAAACATTGCATTGGTGGGTGCAGTTCAGGACTGATGTCATTTTAAAGCCTCCAGTATCTGTGCATCATTTTTAAAAAGTGGGTTCTAGTCCAAAGCTACAGATCATTTGCCCTTCCCTACAATCCTAGATTTCCTGCTAATTTTGGTAGGGAAAACTAGTCTGATTAACAACCTGTGGAGCACTGAGTGCCCAGAAGGCAGTGGTTCCTGCACTTTTAATTCCGCAGAAGAGATTTCAAATCTTCTTATGGCTGCCCACAGTACAGAAGCTTGCCCTCTTTTCCATTTGACTTAGAAGATGTAATCAGGTTAGTTTGCGTGATCCTAGATTTCCTGCTAATTTTGGTAGGGAAAACTAGTCTGATTAACAACCTGTGGAGCACTGAGTGCCCAGAAGGCAGTGGTTCCTGCACTTTTAATTCCGCAGAAGAGATTTCAAATCTTCTTATGGCTGCCCACAGTACAGAAGCTTGCCCTCTTTTCCATTTGACTTAGAAGATGTAATCAAGTTAGTCTGCGTGAGCATATCAGGCAAAACCAGAAGAAAAATAACAAAATAAAAAAGACAAAAATGTGGCCGCTGAAAAACTCGCTGCTATAACTTAATGTGAACTTTTGCGGACAAATCCACACCCTCAGACATAAGAGTGGGACTACATGCCATACTACAGATGATTTTAACTGTGGCTTTAAACAAGTCACTTCAAGCTATGGCTTAAGAAACTGGCTTGTAATATTAAACTGTGGTTAATCACCACTCTCCCATTACCCCAACTAAGCATACCAATTTAACTACACTGACTTTCATGACCAAATCAAGCATCTGAAACTATCTCTGGCATCAATAATATAAAGCTTCATACTTAGTGTTGTAGCATCTGGCCTGATGAAGAGACAGTAACTTCGAAGACCTTCATAATTTTGTTGTGTCACTTTAAGTTGGCTCAATCAAAGTAACCTCTAGTATGGATTTTGGAACTTGTTTTTGCCAGCGTGGCTTTCTCCCTGCTTTTATTTATACTGGGGGGGGGGAGTAGCTTCTCTATTCCTGAGACAATCTGCACATCAGGAGTCTTGTTTTTTTAAGGGTTCAAATGGTGTATCATCAAAACACTGGCATCCCTCTGCAAAATCTTTTTAAAATCTGCAACAAATTTAATTTTAGATCCCTTGGAGCCTTGAATTAAAAATATTAAATATGCTCTTTCGGAAGGGGGAAAATTTTCAATTTATTGTTGTATGGGGAGACGAACTGGAGGCTGAGGGTCTGTAGAAGCCTTGTTTGCTAACACCCCGGGGCAGAACAGAGCAGTTGGTTCAAACCTGTATTGAGAAATGACAATAAATTTTGAAGTCCTGTGTTTGACCCCCCACTTCTGCCCAGAATGGGCAGAGTTCTTCTGCAGAACTTCTGGAGCCCTTTCGATTGGTTACCCCTCATATAAATAGCTGATTAGTATCCCATTAAGCAGCTGACCCCAAGTTAAATTAGTTGCCACCTCTTGGGTCTTCCCAGTAGGATCATAAAATACTGCTGTTCTGCTGGCAGGCAAATCAATATTTATTACTGATCAGCTCGGCCTCGCGTGCCCTGGAGAGCTTGGTGGAGGGTCAATCTTGCGACATCTTGGGTCTGGTCATTCATTAACGGAAGCCAGAAGAGACAGCTTGTCTGGCACTCTGGGGCATGTGCAGAAGGGCCACGTTTTTTCAGCTTATCTGGGAAAGGGATAATATGATGCTACCTCCATTTTTTTTAAAGGATTGTTTGGAAGGCTGCTGAAGCTTGTCCTTAGCAGAGATGAGACAATTTGCTTTCTTGAACTTCAACTCCCAGAAGCCATGCTGATTCTGGGAATAAATAAGTAACTTTTCCAGGCTCTGGATAGTGATGGTATTGCTATAGGAACTGGGAATAAGTCAGGCAGTCCACTACAGATTTATTGGAGCAAGCCTATTAATTTGTTGAGCCCAGCCTTTCCCAACCTGGGTGCGTTCCAGGTGTGTTGGATTACCACTCTGGTCATCTCCAGGCAATGTGGCTGCTGGCTAATATACCTCAACACAAGCAATGAAGATGATTGCAAGACCTCCCCTTTATCTGGATCTCCAGTTCTGTACTGTTTTTTATTATAGAGTTTCTGTTATGTCATCTGCAATCCTCTCTTCATTTGTACTAAGTATTATTGAACTCAGTGGGCTTACTTATGAGTATGCATGTATTATTTTATTGCAGTAGTTCCCAACCTTTGGTCCCCAGATGTTCTTAGACTACAATTCCCAGAAATCCTGGCCAGCACAGCTAATGGTAAAGGCTGCTAGGAGTTTTAGTCCAAGAACATCTGGGGACACAAGGTTGGGAACCACTGCTTTATTGGCTACAGCCATAGGCCATTACAAAATAACTAACATGCTAAGAAGAAAATGTTCACTTTATATAATCTCAATCTCAATCGTCTAGGCTCATTAGCGCAAACCATAGTCAACAACAGAAATTAAGTAGCTTCATAGCCTTTAATAATATTTTAAGGAACTCACCAAAGTCTTCTTCACTACAAAAATAAAAAAAATAAAAAAAAAAGATTCTAGACCATTATGTACAGGAATGTTTATGCAGATGTCCCTTAGAGAGAAAATGCCCTGAAAACAAATATCATCATATTCTATACAAGAAAATGGGATACAATATAAAAACAACATAAGGAAATCCAAAAATCAACTTAAAATAATAAGATATGGGAAAACCTACTTTGGGGAACTATAGTTGCACATGTCCGTTTAGAAGAGAACAGCAAATGGAGAATTTTCCTCCATGATCTGCACAGTGGTGCCCAGCTTTGGGTCCCCAGATGTTCTTGAACTAAAACTCCCAGAAGCCTTCACTTTTATCTGTGTTGGCCAGGATTTCTGGGAGTTGTGGCCCAAGAATATCTGTGGACCCAAGGTTGAGAACTACTATTCTATCATGTATATTGTACAGGTCTCCCAGACAGAGCTTCTTGATGCATTCTTTACTCAATCCTTCTCTGGCTTGTGATGATTGTGATGGCTCTGGGTTTTGCAGGGGGGGGTTATGTTTCTGTGCTGTGTTGTTGTTTGTTTTTTGGTGATTTTTTTTCAGTCCCAAAGTGGGACTTGCTCTGATGTTTGTTTTTGTTTTGTTTGTTTGTTTTTTAAGCCCCTGCACCTTCAGGGCTTGCTCTGTTCATAGTCCCAAAGTGGGACTTGCTCTGATGTTTATTTTTGGTTTGTTTTTGTTTTTTTAAGCCCCTGCACCTTCAAGGCTTGCTCTGTTCATTTTTGGTTGTTTTTTTCAAAGCCCCAGCACCTTTCTGTGCTTTATTTTATTTTTATTTTTTGGTTTTTTTAAAATGCTGGAATGGATTAATTGTGTTCCCATGCATTCTTATGGGAAATGGTGCTTCGACTTATGATCGTTTCGAATTACGTCCATCTTCTGGAACGGATTATGGTCGTAAGTCGAGGCACCACTGTACATCAATTTGCAGACATTTTTAAAAGGAAATGCTACCCTGTAAAATCTGGAAGAGTGTACAGACTAAAATATATTTGCATTCCAGTTTGTAGAGTAACTTGAGTGCTAATCTTTGGTTGCTCCATGTTAAAATAAAAATGAATCCATCCCGATCACACATAAGAGGATACTGGGGATTACTTTGTCTGAACATAATTTTTATAATTCTCAGAACTGTATTATTATTTTTTATTATTAGTAGTAAAAATATTTAACCTAACTTTTTTGTCCGAAAAAAGGACCCAAGGTGGCATTAAAAGACAATATTTAAAAACCATTATAACAGTATGTATACACATATTTAAAAAAGAATTTAAAAATACCACTCTGAAAATGGTAAATAAAATCAACACCAAAAAATGGATCCAAAACAACAAGGCAAAACACTCCATTTAAAAACTCCTCTCAGACAGCCAATCACTTTTTTTTAAAAAAATATTTAAAATATTTTTATCCAGCAAAGATAGGGCCAGCCTGGTCTCCTGTGGGAGGGTGTTCCAAAGTCTGGGAGCAGCCACAGAGAAGCTTCTCCTTCATGTCCCCACAAACGCACATGTGAAGGCAGTGAGATGAATGAAAAGGATGATCTTAACACCAGGCAGGTTCATACAGGGAGACATGGTCCTTGAGAAAGCTTGGACCTAAGCAATTTAGGACTTTACAGCTTTGAACCAACACTTTGAATTGTGCCTTGAAACAGATCAGCAACCAGGGGAGCTACTGTAACAGAGCGATTATGTGATCCCTGTGACCAGCTCCAGTTAGCAATCTGGTTGCCACATTTTGTTTGTTTGTTTGTTTGTTTGTTTTATTAGATTTATACCCGACCCATCTAGACGAATGGTCCGTTTTGTACCCACTGAAGTTTTTGAACACTTTCCAAGGGCGGCCCCATGTAGAGCATGTTACAGTAATCCAGTTGGAATGTAACTAAGGCCAGATCAGGCCTCTGCAGCAATGGGCAAGGCATGGCATGTGTCACTGTGGCCAGATCAGGCCTCTGCAGCGATGGGCGCAGCTGGTGCACAAGTTTTAACACTTTTGACATAATGTGATTATATACAATAATGTGGCGAGGTGGGGGGGAATCTAAAATTAACAGTAAAATTCTTGATAGAGCTTGGTTTCTCTCTTTGTCTGTTTTTGGGTGCAGATTCCAGGCTCGCCCAGCCAGTGTGTCACTGTGGCCAGATCAGGCCTCTGCAGCGATGGGCGCAGCTGGTGCACAAGTTTTAACACTTTTGACATAATGTGATTATATACAATAATGTGGCGAGGTGGGGGGGAATCTAAAATTAACAGTAAAATTCTTGATAGAGCTTGGTTTCTCTCTTTGTCTGTTTTTGGGTGCAGATTCCAGGCTCGCCCAGCCAGCAACGCCCAGGGCTCATGTTGGCCAGCTGATGATTCTGCCAGCCGACCTGAATAGTCCTCTAGCTCTCATCCTATGGAGATCTTACCAGAAGCCCCATTGAACTCAGCAGACTCTGTTGAGTTTGTTTCCAAGATAAACTGCTGAAGAATCAGAAAAAAGGTGGGGGGGGCACAAATTACTGCATCAGTTTTTCACAATCACCTTTCCCCACAAATAACCGTTTTAATGACAACTGCACACACCTTATAGGTCTTTAAAACACAGCTGCTACTTCGAAGAATGTATAAAGGCCCTAAAATAAAGAAGTATTCAGGTGCCCAAAAATAAATGGCCAAGACTGTGATGCATTTTGCTGCTGCTGCCATCTAATGGTGAAGTTTAGAATATTTCCTAGATTTCTGGGGGCAAACACAATGATGCTTTCATCTTTTTAATGGATAGAGGTCTTTTCCATTAACCTTAAAATAAAACTCTTAATGTTAATAAGATAGCACATGAAACTACCTATGCCTTTGTTAATATATGGATTCCCATCTCCCACCCCGAATACTTCCCAAAATACCACACAAATGCTATGTGTCATAGGGCTAGCTTCCTTAAATCTTCCCCAACCTGGTGATTTCCAGATCTTTTTGGTTACATGCCGGTTAAGGATGATGGGGGTTGTCGTCCAACACATCTCAAATGCATCAAATTGGAGGAAAGCTGACTTTGCATCCCAAACAGCATTATTTGTCAGGTCTTTAGCTTTTAAATGGGTTTTCCATCTCTTTTTAAAATAATGCTTTGCTTCTCTTCTGTGTTACATAACGTAATTTTATTGTACATGGCTTTGAAAGGGCAAGAAAGTGATTTACAAATACTTGTAGAATTAGTGGTGATAGTTATTAGCAGTAGTGTAGTGGCAGCGTTAGTAGTATTAGCATTAGTGTTATTTCCTGGAACTGTAAACCCCATGTAGCTTGGCGAGAGTCGATTTTCAGTAAATATGCATAAGATTGCATTGTTAAATCTACAGGACTGGTGCAAAAGTAGATCTGAGGTAGGAAGTGAAATTCCACTCCTGTCTTGCTGCTGCGTCCATCACGCATTGTTCCTCCACTCATGCTGCTAGTTATGTGCAACAGTGCAGCCAGAAAATTACCAGATCACCCAGCCTCGAAGGGAGAGGGACCGGCAGGAGGCACTAGTAGCAATGCCTCTGTCCCATGTCACTGAAAGAGAAGGAAGAGGCAGGTGCAGGCAAGTTCTTAAGTCACTCTTCCCATAGTGCCTTTGGCTCTGATGGGGCTCTAGGAGGCAAATATGCACGGAACAGCTTCCAGTAACTTGGCTTGTTTGTCACACTGTGTCTACCTTCCTTTTCTGCCCTCTTTGGTGGTGCATGGGAAAGAGTGAGGTCCTCCTTCTCCAGGGCATGGCAGGTCTGTACAGTGGTTCTGGACAGCAGTTCACAACAGCAGCAGTCTCGAAAGGACAAGGAGCATTCCTGAAGGAGCAATTTGGGGTGGGGGGCTTTTTTTCCTGCCGACTGAGCCAAAGGTGAAGCATCTCTTCCACTGTGGTGGTGGCATTTCCCACATCATGTTGATGGTGCTTCATTTCCCACCAGAGGGGTGGGAGAGAGAGGGAGGGGCTTAGTAGAGGTAATGATGGGCCAAAGTTTTTTTAAAAAGTTCTCTGACTTGGTATACCAAAAATAAACAAGTTTTAATAACAAGTAGGTCCCCTCTCCCCCTCACAATCATCCCCATGGCAAGGAGGCAGCTGCATCAGCATGAACAACGTTTCATGTTTTGTTTCGTTTCATTTCCTTGGATTTTTGCCTGATACACTTGCACAGACTAACATGGCTACGTCCTCCAATAAGTTTCACTTATGACTCTTTATAGAGTCCAAAGAGCATGATGTAAATGGTAACAGCCATACCTTCCTGGCACCAGCACTTTCCTGTTGCCAGAGAAATGGAAAGTAAGATGAAGAAAGTTGTGCCAGCCATGAAGAAAGCTGTTTAGGTCTTTCACAACACTCTTGGTCCAATCTTCTCATCCTTGTTTCTTCAAGGAACTGGTGAACAAATTAGAACCCCATTACTTTTGTATAAAGTAACAAAAAGAGAAAGAGCAATAAAGAAAAACTAAACTCAGGAGACCTTATATTTCTTTTCCTGTTGTCTAGTACCGTGGTTCCCAAGAAGTATTCAAGAACTGGACAGATTTGCCAATCAGATTCTGAGCTATGGAGCAGAATTGGACGCTGACCATCCGGTAAGAATAAACAAATAAATAATGGTATGACCTCTCTATTCAAAAATGAAGGGGGAAAAAGAGGAAATTTCAGGTTCTGGCTGAAAAAGATATTTGTGGTTGAACTGCCTGGATAGGTCAATGGGTTAGGTATATGTGGAGCGAGAGGTTGAGAATTTGATTCTCCACTGCGTCTCCACTGCGTCTCCTGTGTTCTGATGTGGCTCAACAGTGAAACCTAAAGTCTCTTGGATTTTGGAACCCCA